CTCTCTCTCCCCGCACACTCACACACACACAAACACACCCCAGGTTCTCCACTCTGGAATGCTAGCACATATAGGATACCTCCTTCTGCTCTCTGTCGTGGACCCCAACCAGGATACAAACATCCCTCTGCAAATTTCAACCACACAGATGATTGAACTTTCATTGGAATGCTAGGCAATTCTAGTTCTATCTGCTTCCAAGGGCACTATGTCAAGCTCCTCAAGATGACACGTGGATCGTGGCCTGGTAGATAACCCTACCTGGCTCCAATGGAAACCGGTCTCAGAACTACTTGGCTGAACTTCGGGATGTTTCATTAGCCAAGTTTTTCACTGCCTTGTGCTTCCACAAATAAGCAAATTGGTTCCTATCTCCTGTCCTTCAGCTCAGGAAACCCTGTGAATGCTTTGTTTTCCATGCCAGTGAGATTCCCCCCCTGTTCATCATTCCAGAGGCAGGATTCTGCACCAGGCCACCAAATCCCTCAGGGATCTCAAGGGCAGACAAGCCCAATGAGGATTTCCCCCACGCTGTCCCAGGATCTGGACCTTTATGATCGTTTAAGGAATTGCAGAAAGAGTCTGTAAACTCGTTTGTCTTGACTACCTGTCCTTTTACTAACGAAAGCCCCTTTGGACCATCCTGCATCCGATATGCCCGTGCCACCATTCTTGTCACTTTTAGCATCCATTTGACCAGTTCATCAAGTGTCACTTGTGGATAAAGTTGTAGATGAGGGAGCTTCTGGAATACCTGCCTCTGGCAGGCGGCTCCTGATTAGAGCACCGTCGGACCAACCCCCACACCTCATTCCTCTTTTGCAGGAGGACAGAGCCTGGCTGTGGAAACAAGTCCACCCATGACGCTGGTTATTCACACATTAGGGGCATTAAAAAAATATTGTAACATCCGCACAGCTACGTGGATTTTGTGTGCCCATGAAGAGCTCACGTGTTCACGCTCTGACACTCACTGTCTGTGTGACCTTTGCAGAATGTGTTTAACCTCTAGGAACCTCAGTTTTCTCAGAAGCGCAATGGCCCTAGCAACAGCACCCTGAGTGATAAATAACGAATGCTGTTATAAAGATGACATGAGATCACGGACACAGAGCACACAGGTCCGGGGTCCAACACACTACGTGGGCAATACACAGCCATGTCGGCATTGTCACTGCTATTTCAGGATCTACTTAGAGATTTTGGTCGGCTCTGATCTACAGAGGCCTCATGTTGTATGTGGGGCCCTCCTGATGGCGTGGGAAATAGTTCCCTAAAGTAGCCTCTCTATTTGCTTCTGCCACAGGTAGCAATTTATCCCAAGACAACCTTATCTTGATATTCCCTCAAAATCAGTGACACTGAAAGCTTCTGTCATAGCAGTAGGATTTAGATGCTGAAAATATTTTTTCAAGTTTATTTCTTCATTTTAAATGCAAGAGAATCAGAATGCAAACAGAGAGAGAGAAGAGAGAGAGAGAGATAGAGAGAGAGAGAGAGAGAATGTGTGGGGTAGGGGGGGCAGAGAGATGGGGAGAGAGTGAATCTCAAGTTGACTCTTCACTCTCAGCCCAGAGCCCAGTGCAGGGCTTGATCTCAGAAGCTGTGAGGTCATGACCTGAGCAGAGATCAGGAGTTGGATGTTGTACCGATTGAGCCACTGAGGCAACCCTAGATGCTGAATATATTATTTTTGACTGAATAATATGAAAAAATAATAATTGATTTTTTTTCCCCTCTCCATATTTTTCACTTATTCACCCTGTCTAGTTCTTGAAACATGATGTTTTGAGCTGTTTGCTTCTGGAAACACAGGAAACAAAGGTAATATTTGTCTACATCTGGTTTTGGGGAAACAAAGGGACAGAACCCACGCTTGAAGAAAATCAGTGGGAGACCCTGTGATGAATCAGGCAAGGCTTTCCTGCTCATCTAATGAGACAAGATGCGAGTGGGACCAGTATTTGCGCTGTGCAGGTGGCTGGACCCGTGGAAGCAAACTCAGTATCCATGGTGCGCTAGGAAGAGCTGATCGGGACAGAGCCTCCCGGGTCCCTGTTCTCTAAGAGCTGAAGGCATGGAGGATTTCCATAGGAAATGCGCTGTGTCCTATATAGCTAGGTGGATTGAGAACTGTCACTCAAGCTGGTATAGTGGTCAAAGCAGAGTTATCTTGAGATGTGCACATCATGTCATTGTGCAAGAGATACAGCATGAGCTTTCAGTGAGACACATCGGAGGCTGAATCTGCAGGCCTAATGATGGATCCAACAGGTAAGGAATACCAGCCCCATCCCATGGCAAACTTGGGACCCTGTGGGAGATGAGTTTAAAGGGTTAAACAGATCCAGCTAAGACACAACTGAGAAAGATGTCTTTAGGAGTTTGTCCTCACAGGTTAATGGTGTAGCCTGGGCTACAGTGAGGGCAGCTTGGGGCCTTGGGTGATAAACCTAGCGAGGCTAAATAGGGATTCAAGTGTTGCCTGGCCTGTCTCAGGTATTCCTGTGGCATTTTGCCACAGAATGGATACATTCATATCTCCGCGAGGTAGCAGCCACGGTCATGCAGGGGTGGGATAGAGGTCCTGAGTTGGGAGGGAAGGGGTACCACGCAGTGCACCCCACTTCTCACTGCCGTCTCCCTATAGACGTCAGTGCGCCCAACCAAAGGAAACGTTAACTCATTAGAGTGGTGGATAAATGCTGTAAAAATCAAAGGACCCTATAGCCAGCAGGGGAGAGATGTGATGTCTGTTGGGGACACAGTAGAGACTGCTCGAGGAGTAGAGCTGGGCTGTCCCGGTGGGATGTTCAGCTTGAAAAGACAAGGCCATGCTTGAATTCCAAACCACATTCAGGTGATTAAGCTTATACACGCGACGGGGAGGATCCCCAATCTAGATGAATCCAGACATGGTCAATAAGCCATTAGAGAAAGGACGTGAGGACAGAATGGTGTATAAAACACCTCCCAGCACCACGGTCCGCCACCCCTTCCTCTACCTCTGCAACAAGTCGGTAACCCACTCTGAGATTCTGGAATTAGTCAAATGCATACTTAAATAGCAAAGGGACTCTACTATACCATGATCAAGGCCTGTGTTTGATCAGCTAATGAGTGCATTGTTGCTTTCTAAAGAATTGGATACATAGTAGGAGTTACTAGAGAAGCTCTGACAGGTCCGATGATTGCACTACTAGTGTAGAGAGAGGAAATAAGCAATGGAGCAAGAGGGAATACCTTGGTCGGAAACTGCAGCTGGAGCTTGGTGGAGGATCCGAGGAGGCTGAGAGAAGCTCTCAGGTGACAGGGCACCTGTGACGGAAGGTTGTCCAAGCTGAACCCATTCCGACGTTGGCTGTGTCTTGTTAGATTTATTGTTGCTTGTGGTTTTAGTTTTCCTTTTCTGAAAGTAGATCCCAACCCTCTGGGTAATGGTTTGCAGTTTGAGGTAAACATTACTACTGAGCCAATCAGTTTTTTATTACTAGATTATAAAGACTAAAACTTCTGTTTCAGGAAACAGGGGACCACATGGAGTCTGTCCTCTGAGAGATGACGGGAGGTGTACAGCCCACAGTGATGGGAGTTTCACACAACAACTGGGAATCTCCCCTCCTCCCTGTGGCCCGAAGGATGCTGCACCAGGATTTGGAAAATCTAGAATTGAATTGTGTCTCTTTGGTGAGCTGCCCTCCTGGTGAGACTTCCCCTTATCCCACATGTAAAGAGGGGTCCTGACTCCACATCTCCTTCCCACGGAGTTATACACACGAGTTATAGTGAACACAGTTCTGAAACATGACGGGTGATGGCCAACTACGGGTGGGTGATTGTTCACTATGGATTTGTTGACTCCAAACCTCATTTTCATTCTGCCCCTGGAATCCCTTTTTTCTTGATTCTTCTATTTGCAGGTTGAGAAATGAAGGAAGAGCTAAGTGCTCCCAGGAAGCTAATCAGGGGAAGAGCCATAGGGGAAGCTTCTTCAGCGGGACCTTTTGCATCTTACCTTCGACACAAGTGTATCATCCACTGGCCGTGAAGCCTTGTTTGCGGTGGATGTCGATTCAACAGTACTGGACGCCTCCTGCTTTCTTTTCTTCACTGGAGCCAGTCCCTGAGTTTTGTACTTCTTCATAACTGAGGCAGCAAAGAGAACATGGTAAATCCAAAGAGGCCCTTCTAGGGCAACTGCATCACGTTCGGTGCTATTTCCTCGGAGCTCCTGCCTGTGGGTCTGAGGTGGCGTTTCTGTCCCCCCTGTGTCCATCAACCAGCCAGCCCGGCTACAGGTGCTGACTCAGTCTCGGATGGTCTCCTTCCTTCCCCACGGGCGCAAGCCCACCCCTCCATCGTCCGGACTCCCGGGAACCTCAGTCAAACCCTCTTCCAACCCATTTATCCTATATTTTCCTTTTAAGAATATTAAGTTTTCAAAATGCCGATGGTGGGTTAACTCCTATGGAAGGTCTATTTGAATTACAGCAAGCAGAGAAAGGAAATCCGATCTAATTAGTGACGTGACAAACTGGTGATGCTTGACTTTTTAAAATATGTTTTTACGAGCCACTGATTTTACGGGAGGCAATGGTTTCACATCTGCGAGAGAGGAGTTTTTCTTTAAGCACTGCCTCACGTTTGTTGCTAGGGAATAGAGTAACGGTGGGATAAATATTGTGAGGGAACAGTATACGCACCGTTTGCAGTATTTTTAAGAGTCACAATTTTTTCCTAATTTTGTCGTCACCCTGTAACCATTGTAATGTGGGGGAAGCCTCAGCCTTTGTCGTCAACTCCTTCTGCCTTTTTTCTTTACCCACATCCCCCAAATACACCCTGTAAAATACAGTGCCCCCCTTTGTAGGAAAGGAATTGTTCAACTGTCAACCTGTTGGCGCTTGAAGGGCCACCTCATCTGGGCAACCGAGTCGTAAATTGGCAAAGGGATCTCCCCGCTGTGCCGACACCAGGGCTCTGCTGGGCACAGAGGGCGGGCACATGGACAGTGAGGGCTCCTCTGCATTACCTTTTCTCTTCTCATTTTTAATAGTTTTCACAGTGTCTTCTAGTCCTTCTATGTCTTTGAGCAGCCTCAGGAGTTTGTTCACACAGAGAATCCCCCGGAACTTCTTGTGCATCATGTCAGCAATCTTGACCTTGGTATAGTCTTCTTTCATTTTTGAAGTCAGTCCCAAATCAGAGTCCAGCAGGGACTTAACCATGCTAAACTGGTCGTCGTTGAGGGGCTGAAGCCCTTTCAGCAGAAGAATTCTCTTGCATTCTGTCTCCATCTCTCAAGGTCTGTCTAAGCAGGAGAAAAATACCATAGGGCGTTACATTCTCATCGGAACAATTTAAAAGCCTGGTTGTGTCTATGTGGGTGAGTGGCCCATGTCAAGGTGTTGTCCTTGAGTGTGTGTGACAAAGACCAGGTGCATCACTGTGCAAAATGGGTTGAGATCTGCTGCATTCAGAACTTCTTTTTTAAAAAAAAAATTTTTTTTAAATGTTTATTTATTTTTGAGACCATGCGAGAAACAGAGTGCAAGCAGCGGAGGGGCAGACAGAGGGAGACACAGAATTTGAAGCGGGCTCCAGGCGCCGAGCCGTCAGCCCAGAGCCCGACGCGGGGCTCGAACCCACAAACTGTGAGATCATGACCTGAGCCGAAGTTGGACACTTAACCGACGGAGTCACCCAGGCGCCTGCATTCAGAACTCCCAAGAAAGTCTTTTCATTTAATAATGACAGTTGTGTCGGGTCAGGGCAGGTGTGGTGGCAGGAGGTCTGGAAAGAGGTAGTGTTTTCTGTGCGTGGAGTGTGGGCTGTACGGTGTCACAGGGCACCTGCTCCCGGCGGCCATCCCCTACTGGGGCTGCGGTGTCTCCCTGGATGTCTGCTCGCTGGCTCCTGACCCTGTTACCCTCTCTGATGGCCGAGTGGACCGCAGTCTCTCACCCTCCGTGACTGTCCCCGCCACCGGGGCACTCGCTTCCACACCAGGGACCTGCCAATGTCCACCTGCCTTCCCCTAGCCAGTCCTTCTAGCGTCCCCTCTCCCTGGGGCTTGGGCATGTCCTCTGTGTCCTCTGCGCCCTTGTCCCCTGCTGGCCTTCTACCTGCTCCCGCGTGCACGATCACAGCATTTTTTTTCTGGGACCAGTTAGTAGTCCTCTCACTGGAGTTCTACACTCCGGCTAGAGCAGGAACACTGCACTCCTTTGGCGCAATTATTTAGCAGTTCCTTGATTTTACCCTTCTAGGCTGAATTCCTCTGAACAGTTCTTTCGGAGAGCCAGATGTCCCTCTATCCAGCCATGGCTCTGTCCCACTTGGCAGCCGCCAAGAATTCCCCTGTTTGTTTTTGAAATTTTTCTTGCTCCCCACCCTAGCTTGGAGAGCCTTGAATAATCTGCATCTTTTTTTTTTTTTTTTTTTTTTTTTTTTTTTTTTTTTTTTTTTTTTTTACATCTGTGCCTTTTGTAATTCTTGCGGCTTATGTTCCAGAAATATACAACCCATGTCGCCTCTTCATGCATCAGGACTTTGCTAATTCCCTCCCTGCTGCCTAACAAGCTGCTCTCGCCTTTCTTCCTCCGACTGACTCCTCGGAGCCTTCAGGACTCCGCTGAGGCTTTGTCTTCCAAAAGCCACCAGAGTCCCCCTGTTGGACCGAGGGTCCCGCCTCTGGGCGCCTTTAGCACCTCTCGTACTTCCTCTATGGCACTCAGTACAAGGTACGGATTCCACTTTTCTGTTTAAATTCATCAATTGTTCTTATTCGGGCACCGTGTGTTTGTGTAGCTTCTGTATAATTAGCATGTTCAAATCCCCAGGGCTGTGAATGATTCCTTCCTGCGAGGGTACGAGATCCTCGGATTGGTCAGGCTCATGGATTGAAGGATAAACCCACAAGATGGATGATAGCAGAACTGAAGATCATTAACAACAAAGTAAAAGTAAAAACTCTGGAAGCTTCCAGAAATGAAGAGCAGATTACCTGTAAAGATTCAAGGAGCAGCCTGAATCTGACACTCAACAGCAAAGCTGTCCACCAACAGTAAAACAGGGTAATTTTCAAATAGTATTTGTTCAAATTCCATATCTGTTTCAAAGCTGAATAGTGTTTAAAATGAAATTTTTGTGTGTGTGGTATATATGGGTGTGACAACATAATTCGTTTGCAAAATAAGATATAATACGATATAAGGTGACAGGAGGCTAGGTCTAATCTTTGTTCATTCCTCTTAAATATGAACGTGCATTTTGTATTTCCAAAATATTAGTGTGTTTGATTTTAGAATAATCATCCAGACCCCCTCTTGGGTTTCTAGTATTACAGTATTTGTTTTTGTGTCTTGTTTGTTTGTTTCTATTTTTTTAATGTTTGCTTATTTTTGAGAGAGAGGGAGAGAGAGCATGAGCAGGGGAGGGGCAGGGAGAGAGGGGGACAGAGGATCTGAAGCAGGCTCTGTGCTGACAGCGGAGAACCCCATGTGGGGCTCGAACTCATGAACCATGAGATCATGACCTGAGCCGAAGTCAGACACCCAACCGACTGAGCCACCCGGGTGCCCTCTAATATTACAGTATTCAAAGTAGGTACACTAAATAGCCTTTCTGAAATGCCCCGATTGTGAATTTCGAAACAGATGCAGCCCCAGGGGTATCAGAAAAGGTACTGCCTACATAGAGGGAGGGCAGAATAATTTTGAGAGCAGAATTCTAAGCTGGTCAAACTGATATTTAAATGTGGGGGCCTCAGAAACTATTCTCTGATATTCAAGGCCTTGTGGTTTGTACGACAAAGACCTATAAGGAAACGTCTATTGGAAATGATATTCGATAATGAAAATGACACGTAGAGCCCAGAACTACTGCAAGCCAGAGCGAGGACTACCTTGGCGAGGTGTGCCTCTGTCTTACAAAGAAATGCAACTTCGACTAAAGGCGAGAGAGACAGGAAGCATATCGACACGGTGGGGGAAGGGAGGAAAGCCAATGGGGCCCTTCGCTAATGTATTTGTCTTAAAGGATCAGATAAAGGTATACGTAAAAACAGAAGCACGAGAAAGGAGCATTCAGAAGTGTCAGGAACGGGAACGAGAGTGGCCGAAGCCAAACTGTACCCCTTAATTATCAGCAGACACAGAAATGGCCCTAACGAGTTAAGTGGAAAGTGTAGTCAAATGGCATTTACACAATCTGCCAATGTATTGTTAACAAAAGATCACTCACTTAAAGGTGGGGAAATAAAAGACAAATATTTCATCATGCGACGAGCAACCAAAAGAAAACCAGCTTATCTCTATTAGTGTAGCTTTAAATAGATCTGGAAACAAAAAAAATATCATCAAAGCACAACACAATGACAAAGCTGACGTCCCAGGGAAATAACACAGTTGTGATTGTGTATTTACTTGCTAATCGAAAATATATATTATTTTTGTTGTGATATCCCTTTATAATGCTATAAATATTATGTAATTTATTTTATAACATGATTCGCCTATATATAAAAATTATAGTTGTACTATTATATCGTATGTTTCTCTCCATACATCCACACACACTTGTATATATCATCGTGTATGTAAATTTGACAGACGTACGGGACGAAAACCTCACCATGGCACGGTTTTTATGCGTGATGATTTTAACGCATCTCGCAATTGCGAAATAAAATTTTTAAAAATCAGTAAAGATTTAGAAAATCCGACCAATGCAATTAATAAACATAATTAACGAGGTTTATCTAACATACCCCAAATTCTGAAATCAGCATGAAAAATCTCACACTCTAACGAGAGCAAATGAAATAGTATTATAACAGGCCGTCCAGAAAGTTGCTCAACAATTCTGCAGGCAGGCAATAGAAATCTATGTATAACTGACTCCCTCCCTCTCCCTTGCATCTTGCCACTAGAAAAAAGTCAGTAATTTTGAGGGAGGTAGAAAGTAATACTAAAAGGAACTGAAATAATGGCTCTGGAGTATAAGATAAAAATTAAACTGTCTAAAAGAGGTAAAGAAGCCATGTTTTTGCATAACTGTGTCTGTGGAAAGGAAATTTTTTCTGCTGTGTGTGTGTGTGTGTGTGTATGCGTGCATGTGAGTTTTCTAAGATTAGGATAATACCATACAATCAACTTTAAATGCAGATGTGTGTTTTACTTCATATTAGGTTATGATACTTTCCTCCTTGTGCTTCTATCTTGACTTTTGCCCGGGACCCTGCCACAGCCACCACGTTTCCTGTGCACTTTCCAGGGAAGGAAACTAAACAGTTTCTCTAAATATAACTCATGGCAGTAATCACCTAGGGAATAGATTTTAATATCTTCTATAGTCAAAATGTATCTCCCTTTGTTCAGGCCTCAGATGTGGTAGAATGAGAATGTCTGTGTTTTGCCTGAGCTGTAAAGGATGAGAATCAAGCTACTGTTGGAGAGTCTGGGTGGCTCAATCGGTTAAAGCACGTGACTCTTGATTGCAGCTCACGTCATGATCTCACGGTTCATGAGTTTGAGCCCTGCTTTGGGCTCTGACCTGACAGCATGGAGCCTGCTTGGGATTCTCTCTCTCTCCCTCTCTCCCTGCCCTTCCCCTACTCTCACTGTCTCTCTTTCTCTCAAAAATACATAAACAAACTTAAAAAAAAATAGAACGAAGCTACTGTTTTCATTTTTCTGACTGTAGTTGATAACCAGCACAACCCCCCCCCCCCCATTCTTTATAACCGAAGCCCCCTGGATGTTTCCTGCTCAGCCAATATCTCTTGACAGAAAGCCCACGGTTCTCACCTTGCTGAAATTCCCCACAAGTCCAGATCTTGAGGTCTTCTTCAGAAATGCAGGGATCACTGCTTATTTTGTTTGAGGAGAAAGATCAATTAGGAAAGCCCTTAGAGACTGAACTGCAAGCTATTATAATCTCCTGAAGGGCACAGGAAAAAGAAGTGTTTTGAAAGATAGCAATCAGAAATGGCACCGTGTAGAGTCACAACTTGACTAGTTTTGGTTCCCTCTCACTGTGCTGTCCCCTGGAGGGAGGTTATGAAACCATCCCGAGACTCCTCCCCCCCCCCCCCCCCCCCCCCCCCCATTCTTAGCTTTCGATTTCATCAGTCAGAGAAAATAAACAGCTTCCTTCCTGTAAATACTGAGTCAAGATGAAAAATCAGAGCAAAAATATAATTAAGGGTTTTTGTTACAAATGTCAGGAGAGGGAAGGGGTGCCAACGTTAGAACTTTGTTGTCCCGCAGACTTACGTGCGGGTCCTTAGAAATTATATTCCCTCCAGAAATGTTCAAATGTAAGAGAAGTAAGATGAATCACTGGGCCACTTATCCCTCACTTCCTGTTTTCAGAGTTCTAGGATGAAATGTTGAAAGAGGCATCTATCTCTACTGCGCCCTTGACTGGACATCCTGCATATATGTACAGACAAGTCTGCTATGAAATCATTCTGGGTTTAAATAGTGCCTGAAGCATTCACCCCGTTAGTAAGTGAGGTACTTGGAGGTAGAAGGTACCACAGAGGTAGAAGGTCATTAATATGTGAATCTTTCCTTAGATATATATCAAGGAAGTTGCCCTCTCAACTGTCACTAGGCTACTTTGCCTCACTGATTAAGTTAATGGTTACTCTTACTCTCTGCATTATTCACGCATACGCATAGCTGGGTAGCAAGTTCATATCATGACAGCGTTGAAGTCTTTGCGAATTCTGTATGAACACTGAACCACTGGACAGAGATGGGCCTGATTCACCTTTTGTTCCGCAATGGTTTGTTGTTGTTGTTGTTGTTCCCGTGAAGGACAGTGGATGCATTCCAGAGTATCGGAAACCCTGAGATATCAAATAAATGGTACCAATCAACTGACATTATGGCTGTAACTCACCAGGTGATCTGCAGGTGGGATGACACCAGGACTGGGATCCCAAAGGACAGATGGTGTTGGTAGATGATCTGAGGTCATCTAAAGAGAAGAAAGCTGATTGTTTTAATCCAGACTATAGTCGTGGAGTGGCTAGCTGAAGTCGAGATTTGAGATCATCTGAAAACGCCACCAAAGCATGAGTAAGTCATGGGAAGGCGAGGGGGATCTGGAGGTGTCCATAAACACCTGGGAGTGTTCATTGCTTCTTTTCAAGGCTTTAGGTTGCTGTTTCATGCGGCATGGAGCTGGCCTTAAGGTAAGAGGTGGAGGGGAACACCAGGGAGGTCAGAGAGGGCCCCATCCCAGAGATCAGAGGGTAGAGAACATATGGGAAGAATGACCATATCAGGACATTTTCCTGCTCCTTTTCTTTGCAATCAGGTGATGTAATGTCCCTGATTGGGACTCCTGCACATAACACACAGATTCCTGTCATCAATAAGGACAGTTCCGAGCAGTGCTCCATAACTCATACAGTGAAGCTGGAATTTTAATAGCTGAAACAAAGGAATGCTAAAAACGTGTATTTCTTCCTGGCTCACAGGCAGTAGCCAGACATTTGCTGACTTGTGCGGTGATGCAGAAAGCTCGCTAGTACAACATCCAAGAAACCTCGATACGGAGAAAAATGGATAAATTTACGCCGAGTTTTTATTGTCTCAAGTATTAATTCACATGGTCAAAATCCCCAGGACAAGTCCCCACCGGATTGACTTTCTGTGGGCCAAAGCTAACACACTGGTTTTTGTGAATACGGTTTTATTGGGACACAGAAATACTCATTTATTTATGCATTGTCTACGTCTGCATTCCTGGTGCCACTGAAGAGCCGACGAGCCACACGGTCCAGGTTTTCACTATATGGCTCTTGAAAGAAAACAATCTCGTTAACCTGTGCCCTTAGCCATCAGGCTGAGAGAGAGCAGAGAGAATCTACAGGGAAAAGCAGAAGTGAGGAAGAAAACAATCACATCAAGAAACCACAGTCAGACCTTTTCAAATCCACAGTAGGACCGTGGAGAAAAGCTTGGTGATGAAGTCTGTGTCTCAGAGAAAGAAACAGAAAGGGAGGGTTGGGGACTGAACTGTGTTCTCCCAGATTCACATGTTGAAGCCTTACCCACCCCCGCGACTGTATTTGGAAGGAGATAGAGCCTCTAAGGAGGTGAATAAGTTAAAATGATGTCATAAGGGAGGGGCATTAATCCAACGTGACTGGAGCTTTTCTAAAAAGAGGAGGTTTTAACACACGCGGAGACCAGGGATGCGTCCACACAGATGAAAAGTATGTGAGGACACGGCAAGGAAGTGGCCACCTGCAAGCTGGGACAGAGACTTCAGGAGAAAGCAAATCTTTTGATGCTTTGATCTGGGACTTCTAGCTTCCAGAATTGTGAGAAAATAGATTTCTGTTGTGTCAGCTGCCACCCCCCCCCAACCCTGCCCCCAGTCTGTGGTAGTTTGTTATGGGAACTCTAGCAAAGGAATACAGGGAAGAGTGGCAAAATTCTTCTCCAACAGTTTATCCTAAGGGGCCGGTAGAAAGCTCGCTAGTGTGGGAGCCTCAGCTGGCTCAATGGATGAATTTACAGAACCACCCCCGCCAGCCCGCTTCCCTGAACAGCATGCTTTCTCAGGGAAGTTGATTTCTCTTTCAAAGGAAATGCAAAGTGTGATGGAGGTTTCTATGCGGAATCAGTCTTGTATCCCTGAGATAAAGCAACGGTTCCAGGATGCATCATCACTTACCACATTTTGAGAGATTCAATTTTGAGGTATGTGAAAAAGTACTTTTACATTTACTTTCAGGAGAGGCATTGGCCTTTATTTCTCCTTTTGCTTGGTTTTTATCTGATTTTGGTACGACATTAGTGTTGGCACTCCTAAAAGCGTGCACGTGACGTCACTAATGCTTCCTCCTTAGATGTTTGATAGAATTCATCAAGTGTGTATTCCGGGAGCTGTTATTGTGGGAAGGTTTTTGTTACAACTGAATCTCCTTGCATAGATATAGCGACATTCAGATGTTCTTTTTTTCTATGAGAGTTTTGGTAAGTTGTGTTCTCCAGGAATTTTGTCCATTGGATCTAAGTAACCGAAGTCACTGGCCTAATGTGGTTCATAATATGCTTTTTGTTCTCTTTTAAATTTCTGTAGGCTCTGCAGTGTCCCCTTATGTTCCAGAAATTGGGCATTTCCACTGTCTCTCTATTGCCCTTATGTAGTCCCACTAGACAGGTTTGTCTCTGAGGACAGGGACACAGGGAAGCCCAAGGCCCAGGGGGAATGGAAGGAGACCAGAGGGCTTGAAGCCTCTAGCAAATGCAGCGAGAATGAACATTAAACACTGCCCGACAGTAAAGGTGTGTTTACCCCATTCCTATCACCTGACAAAACATGCCATGCTTTCGACAAACCATTATGGGGCATGTCTAAAGACAAGGACAAACAGTCTGAAGAGACAAGACTGGCATCTGAGCCAGACTCAGATATGACATAGATGTTGAAGTTAGCATACAGGGAGTCTAAAGTGTCTCTGGTTAATATGGTAAGGGCTTGTGTTAGTTTCTAGAAATGCCACGTGAAAAATCCCACACATTGGTGGCTTCAATAACCGTACTTGATTTTCTCTGGGTTCTGGAGGCTGGAGTCCAAGATCAAGGAAGCAGCAGGGCTGGTTTTCTCAGAGGACCCTCTCTCTAATATGCAGACGGACAACTTCTTCACACAACTGTCCCTCTGTCCTCCTCCTGATGTCTCTGTGTGTCCACATTTCCCCTACACATAAGAACACCCATCAGACTGGATCAGGAACCAACCATATGATCTCGTTAGCCTGAATCACCTCTTTAAAAGGGTCTGTCTACAAATATAGTCACATTCTACTCTACTGCCTGTTAGGGCTCCAGCATACGAATTTGGTGCGGGGGACACAAGTGAGCCTGTAGCAGGGCTTTGGCAAAAAAAAGTAAAAAGCATGCCCCAAATGGTACTCTAAGCAGAAAGACAGAAACTCTAAGAAAGAATCAAAAGGAATTTTAAGAAATAAAATTGTTGAAGAGCGCCTGGGTGGCTCAGTACATTAAGCACCTGACTTCGGCTCTAGTCACGATCGTGCGCCGTTTGGGAGTTTGAGCCCCCACGTCAGGCTCTGCACTGACAGCTCAGAGCCTGGAGCCTGCTTCATGTTCTGTGTCTCCTTCTCTCCCTGCCTCTCCCCTGCTCTCTCGCGGTCACCTCAAAATAAATAGACATTAAACAACATTTTAAAAAAATTTTTTAAAAGAAATAAAAATGTTGTGACACAAAAGATAGGTATTCAGTAAGTGAACACAACCAAGGAAAGGATCGGCGAGGATAGGTCAATAGAAACTACTTACACTGAAATGCAGAGAAAGAGAGAAAGAAAAGCCAGAATAGCCACCATCGGTGGCATCATAGCATAAGACACAGCATATGCTGCATCTTAGAAATCCGAAAGGTGAAGAAAAAGGCAGAAAACGTATTGGAAGGAATAATGGCAAAGAAGACTCCAAGATTAATGACAGACAACAGAACCGCAGAGACAAGAAGTTCAGACAATGTCAAACACGGTAAATATCAAAAACTTATCTCGAGGAATATCATTTTCAAATTGCGGAAAACAAAAGACAAAGAGAAAATCTTGAAAGAAGTCAAAGGAAAGTACAACACCCTGTCTACAGAGGAACAAAGATAAGAATGCTGTGGCCTTCTTGTCAGAGACGGTGCAAGAAGAGGGTGAGGCGAAATATTTAAAACGGTTGAAGAAAAAGCCTATCAGTCTAGAATTCTATATCCACGGATACTATCCCTCAAAAGTGAATGAGAAAGAAAGGCTTGCTTAGCCAAACAAAAACTGAGGGGATTTGTTGTCAGCAGACCTGCCCTGTGGGAAACGTTAAGAGTTCTTCAGGGAGGAGGAAAATGATACAGGTCAGAAATTCAGATCTACATGAGGAACGGAAGAGCATCAGAGAGGAATAAATAATGAGAGCATGTTTTGCATTTCTGATTTTTTTGAGTTTATTT